TTGAAAAGTTGGTTAAAAGGCCAATACGGGACAGTCATATCTTACAGTACGTCACACTTTTTTCCAAAGAAAACACCTAAATTAGGATGTGAAAATGTTCACATCACTAAGCTCTGGTAAAGAATACATTCAGGGATTTAAAACAAAGCCACCAACAGCCATAATGTATTTGACAAGCAACAATATAGGTGTCAGAAACCAATTCTAGGTCAATTCCTGCAGTTTAGACTGTCCCACAGTGCAGATGCGTCACCTCACAAACTATACGCCCACCACTTCCTGTGACCAGCTGGACCTATCGACGGTGGTCAGGATGCAATGGTAGCTTAGCCCAGGAAGATGATCAAACAGACTCTCCCAGAGAGGTCAAAGCAGTATCCGCCTAGACCCATGGAGGGGTGGGGGGTGTTAAAGTGCTTTTCTGAGAAAACATTGAACCACCCTTCTGCTGTATTACTCGGTTCAGGAACCTTACAATGTGTATCGTTTAACAAATATGATTCTTAAGAAAATGTTATCACTGTGACTTTAGGAAAAATCAGCTGTCAAGAACCTAAAAGTAATTTGACATTCACAAATCTCAACACAGAACAATTAACTAAACCTAATAGGCAAATATATTTTCTTTTTTTTTGAGTAAGAGTCCAAGTTGATTTAATTTTTAGTCTCAGCAAATATTCAAAACCTGAAGAAACGTATGAACCTTGACTTGAAATACATCTGTTACTGTTTGGTCTATAAATGGTCTGTTACATTTTATAATTGTTTTTTGCAACTATAAGTACAAATAAACCCTTTTTGTCACTTCGGTGACACTGTGTGAAAAATGTCAGGCAAACCCAACCAATTTCCGTATGGGTCTTTTCTCAACTCTGACGCCAGAAAATGTTTCACTTGTGCTTTGTAAGCCATTAGGGGAAGTAAGTTAACAAACAAGGAGGAAGTGCTGACTGATCTGTTGATTCTGACGGAGTATGGGCCGTCAGTGTTAATAATTAAGTCTTGCTCACTGTCGTCACTTTTATCCCCACTCTTTGTTTGAACAAAATAGAATCCTCTTTCTTCTTCTCCACCATATTTTAAAGAACAAATATTATAGATTTGTAGTCAAGACTGTTGCTCAACATGAAAAGAAACCAACGCAAGCTTTTACTGCAATACATCTTCATCGCTCAAGCTAAACAGTCTGTGTGGGACATATGGCAGAGGGGGACCAGATAAATAGAGGCTCTAAATCTCTTGGGAAGACATAGCGGAGAAGTCTGTACGGCATCATAACACAGCATGTCCACCCACGCTCAGGGGCGCCACCAGGGATTTTGGGCCCCATGAAAATATATCACATTGGGCCCCACCACCAGGCACAGGCCACTTTGTTTATAAATTACCTCGAGGTCCGTACCAAATGGTCTAGCGGTCTGTATACGGCCCAGGAGCCGGAGGTTCCCCACCCCTGCTTTAATATAATAACATTAGTATTAATATCATAACCAAAATGTTGGTGATTAACATTTAGTTTACCTAATACAGACTCACTCAACGCTTCAAACTGTCCATAATCCAAATAGACTAAAAGCAGTTTTTTGTTTTGTATAGATCATTGGATGTGGGAAAATACTGTGTTTGAAATGTATAATTAAAATTAGATGTTAGCTTTTTGTTTTGAAAAAATCTTTCCCTTACTTCAGACTTCCTTACAGAGCCCCTCCTCCAACACACACAAACGCCCACATGAGTTTGTGCACAGATGGAAGGCTGACAGGCAGGTAGGCCATCCAGTTATTTTAGCCGGGCCGGCTCAGATGATTGGTCGTGCTTTTTACAGTACCACGGCGTCCACAGATGAAATGTTTGTATGTATTTTTTGTCAAAGCATTTAATGTGTTCATTGCTATCGGGATGTTAAGAGCATTCCATGGAATATAACAAAGTGTTTCTGAATTGAATTACCTACCCTACCTTTAAATGTCAGCTAAAAGAGCAGTGAAATGAAAAACCTCTGAATTTTCTGTTAAGATATTAACAGTACTTAATGTCAGCTTAGTAAAAACAAAACATTAGCTAACAGAATAATTTCCACCACTCATGGACCACACCTTTTCTTGTGAAAAACTGGGTGACATACTGTCGCCCTTTGGTCCCTCTCTCTTGTCTTTCTCTCCTTTCTCTTCTTTTCTTAGAGCCTGACTTTTTTGAGACGTTGAGACATGGTACAACACAAGTACGTAGGCTAAGTACTAGCATCCCTCCTCACATGCTTTCACACTCTGCAAGTGCCGGTGCCGCACTGCGTTTGGAGGCAGGACCAAACCATTACATGTAAATAGAAGGGGGTGTACAGAGGCTTTGGATAATTAACTTTTGGAAGAAAATAAGTTAAATGAATCGTAAGTTTAGTGAGTACTTTATCAATATAACGTTCTATTAATGTTAATTATTGAGGATTGATGAAAGGTTACTTAAAAATTTTTTTCTTAATGTTCTGAACATTTTGGGGCCCCCGTCAGTCACGGGCCCTTAGAATCGTCCTAACTTTTCACCCCCTTACGGCACCCCTGCCCACGCTTCATTCAAGGCTCAGATCCTTCACTCGGACTCTAAAAAAGCCAAAAGCCCCAGTGGAGTCCCGTTCATTGTCGTTTGAGTCGATGACTATCAAGCTTTGATTGATACTGATTGAAGTCACAGTGGTGGAAATAATAAGTGCCAGTGTTCTCATATTTGAATTAAGGCAGAATTAAAAACACAATGAAAGCAGTGTATTATCAAACTATTCTTTCTGCATTCAGGCAGTGAGATAATCTTTATCCTTACTGCTCGACTTTTCAGTCTGAGCCATGTGCTGAGCTCGGCTGAAGCCTAACCAAATACTAGTCTCTCTAGCGGCTCAACGTCATTGGTTGGTGGGCTGATACCCATTGGTTAGTGTCACCGCCTTCTCCACACAGACAATATCAGTCTTTGTGTGCACTGCCTGGCTACACTGTGTGTGTGTGTGTGTGTGTGTGTGTGTGTGTGTGTGTGTGTGTGTGTGTGTGTGTGTGTGTGTGTGTGTGTGTGTGTTTTCCTCTGCATACACCAGGAATTTCTTTCAATGTAGCTTTTCGGTTCAAAAAAATTATGATGAAATACATTGTCGCAGAGCAATAGTTTACATTTCTATAAAAAAAAACATCAACCACCAACCAATGGTGAATACAGCTTCTTCTTCCCCTTGCTTCCCTTTTAGTGTGGTAGCTGAGAAAGAACAATCTCGCTGAGGAACAACATAATGATTCATTATGTAGGATAATACTATTAGCACATTTTCGAAGAACAAGAAAGAGCTCAAAAAGACGGGAGCTTCGGAAGATACTAAATTGTATGTTAAGGTTTTTCGGACAGAACTTTAGGAATACTATGAAATCTACTAATGAGCTCCTCTCTTCAACAGTCTACATTTTCTTTGTTCAAAAATGTCCTGTCTATCTGCCCACTCCCAGGTCACATGAATCAGGTTAAACCAGACTCTCACAACCAGCTTTACCGACATCTTAATTACCCCCTAAAGCTTCCCTCTGCCTTTACTTACGTCGGTAGGAATTCAGATGTTCTCTTGCAAAGTCTTAAGACACATCTCCCAGTCATAACATGGGCCAGTAAGAAGACACACATTCGAATCAGAAACAGTGATACACAGAGGGCTTCACGCCGACTCCGATGGTCAAAATGTGAATCGATAGAATAGATCGAATAGAATTGGGAGGGATGAAACCCTCTTTAACGGTCACACATGCAGAGCACAAAGTGACATGTGTTCTCTGCTTTTAACCCATCCTAGTACCAGGAGTCTAGTACTAGGAGCAGTGGGCAGCTATTGTACAGCGCCCGGGGAGCAATGGGAGTCAGGGGGGTGTCCGGTGCCTTGCTCAAGGGCACCACGGAAGGGGAGGAGGTGAACTGGGACCTCTCCAAGTAGCAGTCCACACTCCATATTTTAGGTCTGTTCGGGGACTTGAACCGGCGACCCTGCAGCTCCCAGTCCACGCCCCTACTGACTGAGCCACTGCCGGACAACGGTGACGGTAAATCCTTACGTGGTAGTTTGATAAAAAAAGACTCCATGGAAAACAGAATGAAATGTTTAAAATCTTTTGCAAATGATCTTTTTCACCCCATGCTAGAGAAGCAACCGCCCAGAGGCAGTTATAGAGAAAAACCTTACTCGGATAACATATAATTGTCTCTATCATGATCACTCAGTCCCAAGACAAGGCTGATGAGCTGTGTCTTACTGATTCCTTATATATTCTACATAATGCATGTTATAGTTATGTTGTACAAGGAAGAAGGGAAGAACAGCTCCATCCAGCAGCACGATAATAACGTTGTGTCTGCAGTATAAGGTTATTTTTGTTTTTTCCTCTGATGTATGTTTAGTTTTATTTAATTTGGTATTTTGCCAAAAAGGGAACCAAATTACACTTCCACAAATATACCCATATATTAAAACAAGGAAACTGCTTATTTCTAGAACATGTGTGTGTCTGTTTCCTGAGGGACAGCGACAGGTTATTCAATGTAAAAGGAAAAGAAAGAGACATTTTGATTTCAAAAAAGAAGAAAGAACACATAAAGCTACCATGTACGTGTTCAAGAAGATGGTAGAGATAGTGTGGCACAGAAACAAAGTGACAGGCAGCTGTAGATTAGGCTCCATCCTGACCACAGATGCTCACATGCTCAAACCACAACACCTTATTTCTTTTGTTTTGATAGATGTCGAGCAACAAGCACCCTGGGGGCAGGGTGCAATTATTCACTCTGAGCCTTCACAGTCGAAAATGATTCAGACTGATTGAATTTGATATGTGAAATCGTGATGATACAGCAGCTAGTCTTCACAGATCAAATTAACCCTTCAGCAAGGGTCTTTAAAGAAAGTCAACACAAGCCATTTTTATCACATTCTCCTTTCAAAATCACACATTTTCAACTATTGTTAAGTTAGTTGTATTCACCTGGGTTGTGAGTTCTCCTCGTACATGCGTTCTTTGCCCTCCTTAAACAAGCTGATGGTCTGCTTGGTCTTCTTGGTTAAGTTCTCCATGAAGACCCGGAAGTACTCGTTGTCCCCCAAGGTCTCCATTTTGCCCTCGTAGCGAGACAAGATGGTGCGCAGGTGCTGGTAGGTGTCTGGCAGCAGGTCCAGGATGTAAGGGGGGCTGTTCTTCAGAGCCAATTTGGGGTTTTGGCACAGGCGCACCACCTGCAGAAAGGGAGGATGTGAGGGGGAAGACAAGATTCAGTTAGACACAAGTCGTTTAAAGAAGTAAGGTAGATGAGGGAAATGTTAGACAGACTGTTAGAAAGAGGGTGTAAACAAGAGGTTAAACTACAAGGGTTGCTAAAGAAATCTCTACTATGCATTTTCATTCTGTACATCAGAAAGACATTATTCAAAGAGCATCACATAGCTCCTTTCTGTATTAGAGCACCTATCTACAGAATATTGTAAGAGAGCCCAGATAGAAGACATGCAAAATGGAAATGCCAACAAAGTCAAAGGCTGTGAGAAAGGCCCTCAAATGTCCTGAAAGACTCATGCTTGGGGCTTTCAGTGTGTCAAATCTCTGATGTCTGATACATGAGTACCATGAATTGATTCCCTGTAGAGTTGTTTGATTTCTGTCACACTACTTCCGCTTTTAGTTATGCAAAAAAGATGAAGGTGGAAAAGGAGAAATGCATATCTTCCATTAGCAGACAGTTTCTGATCATATGTCTTTTTGTAGATATGCAGAGCAATGCTTGCACCTTATTATGCGACTACCATGTCGATAATCATGGGTCACAACAGTTTGATTCTTGATTCTGATTCTGTAGGTTTAAAGAAACTGTTCATATGTTAGCACTTCCGCCTTTCAATCTGCACACCCTACACCACTTCTGCCTCAAAGTCTCTTTGCTCAACATTTGAGCATGATTGCCATGCAAATTTGAACAGCTGAAGCCCTGACTATTATAATGTAGATACAAGCTTAAACAACAATGACACACCACAAAATAAAAGCAACTTAAAAAAAATGGTATAGAAGACTATAAAGAATATAAAAAGCCTTCAAAGGTCAAACAGCTCGATTAACATCAGTCATTGATAATACACAGTGTGGATTAATTAATGGGTAAGCAGAGAGATTCATTTTTTCTTTTAGACAGCTTATAACTCATGAAAATGAAGACCTCCCGTTTCGATGGTCAGTCTACGTGTTTAATCACCAGACTGCATGAATACATGAATGTTACATCCTCAGTAATGTTCAACCATCCTCACTCATCTCACTGTACTGCTGCGCGGCGTCTGAGTCACTTGGTTGACTATTACAAGACACACTGGCGGGCAGCCTAGAACACTGACATTTAGCTATGTATGACTGCTTTCATATTTAGCTCTGCATTAATGCTAACATTCATGCATGATCGCAGAGACACACAACTATACATCCATTCAAAAATTCAGGGACTGATGTCCTTATTTGAACCTGCAATGATTAAAAGCAAGGCTTTCAGCTTCGAAGAACAATTGCGTATCAACAACAGGAACCAGCTCATTCTTTTGAAAACCAGGCCTGATTATTGTCTACTATCATTTGTGAGTGTTAGAAAGATATATGGCAGGAATAGCATTACAAGAATGTCAGTTTGAATTTCCCTGCCCCTTCTTGGAAGCTATCGATTTGTCATTATGAGAAAACAAGACGTCAACAACATCTTGTGCTCAATCGTCTTATAAGTGATTTAGGCCCGGGACTACTAAGATTTATAAATTGTCATTAATAAACAATAGAAATATTTTACCACACATTAATATCTTATATTTGGTTATTATTATTATTCAGAGTGTTCCCTTTCCTTCTAGACTTAGCTCATCTCATTAATCTAAAGGCCCATATGAGCCAAGCTACATATAATGAGAGTGGGATTCATATTGTAATTACTTTATAATATACTATACGACCGAATTGCTGGGTTAAGTACTACAACATCCAATATGGATGTTTTAAAACTCAGGAAAGGGAACTTCCACAATAGACTTTATTAAGATCAGTCATGAGGATTATCCATATTTAGTTCAGCATTAGATTGACCAGATAAAACTAGCAAAGCCAAGATGATTCCATCTATTTCAATCATGTCAATAACCAGCAGAGATGCAACTGAAAGAGGAAGAACAGATTAAATACTTAACAGTATGTAGCACTCAATAAGAATACTTTTCTTTCTTTTTTTCTAGTCTGTGTATTTTGGATACTTTTCAAGTAAAAGATAATAGGACTTGAGTGCCATTACCTACACTGTGCCCTTATTCCTCTGAAACTACATTGGTTATGTCTGAGACCAGATAAGACTGTTGCCAAGGTGAAGTCAACATTATCATCTACTACACAAACACTTAACTAACATAACTAATCCAAACTCACTTTCATGCACATGCACGTACAAGGCCACATCAACTGATGTAGTCTATCAAGGCTACTGTATTGAAGTAAATTGTTGACTGCCTGCAAGCAAAACTGCATTACACATTCTTCTTTTTTCTCTTCTGGGTTAATCTACACCTGGCATAGACCTGGTATATTTTGTATATCAAGTTAAGTTGTTTAAAGGTTAACCAGCTCGGGGAAAGGTGGCCCATTGGTGTAAGAGGTGCAGCTCTAAACAGACTATGTTTGTGTTTCCTTGGTACTGGATAGTTGAGAAATTGTTATTTGAAAAAAATGATTTGCCTCTATCTATCACATTAAAGACAAAGGAGTATGTTTTTTCTAAAATTTCACCAAAAGTTTGGATTTCAAAATATGGATAATGTTTTTAACACAAAAGTCTAATAAACTGTGTTTGGTCTCTACATTCAAGAAAGCCTTAACTATAGGATTAAACCCATGTTTAATACACATAATTGACCACTGTCTTATTACACTTCTTCAAGCACAACAATGTACTACCCAAAAGAGAAGAACATCATTGTGGTCTACCAGACGTTAATGTGATGGTTAAACAAAAAAAAAAAGTGTATTATTTCAACTTCTATAAATGTATGGAACGCTCCAAATGTGTGTCACAAAGCTCTACTATGCCACAAATGTTATATCACAATATGCATCTTATCTTTGAGTAACATATGACCTGAAAATGACTGGTGGATATCCATTTGGTCGAAGCCAAACGTATTATTACCAATATGTACTTGTACGACTTTCTGCATCTCTACTAACTAGCCTTAAGCATATAGCAATGCAAACGCAGAGATTGCAATACAACACCTAATGGTTAAACTTTTAATGCTGTAAAAAGTTTCATATAGGCTTAAAATGAATGAAGAAGCTAAATGAACAACACATTTTGATCCTGGCATCACAGATGAAGTGTTTAACTCAAAAGCAACACAACGATTAAATAGTTAAAGACTGTTATAACTTTTGGTACCGTGTGTAGAAGACTCTATAAAGAACTATGCCCTATGCTTTTGATACAACTAAATCCTATGGAGGAGGGGTTTTCAGAGAGTGACTGAATTATTATTCTGCAGGTGTTGATCTACGATATATGCTCGGCTGTGGTTTTCCTTCAGACCAAGCTCAATGTTATTTCCGCTGCTATTTTTAACAATCTGGTAGAGTAAAAATACTTTTGGTCTCATAGCCTTTTCAAAAGATAAACTACTGATATTTTTTCACATAACTTATGTTGCCCTCAACTATTTCACTGGGTTTGATTTTTGGTGTTATATGGTTAATTATCCCCATACATATTTTAAAAACAGCAAAAGCTGCCTGTGCAGGTAGTTCAATTGATGTAAGGTTAGCTGTCCAGTTATCAAAAATAAACTGGAATGTGGTTTATTTATTGTAGCTTTGTAAAAGGACCTGGTCTCTTAACATCAGAGCTCTAAACTACGGCCTCAAAGAGGAAGAGGGAACACAAAAGAGTGTCTTGTCTTCCTATTCACTCTTATATCGCTGTGTGAATCTCACAGGAAACTGGGGGTCAAACTGCTACAGACTTTTTTTTCCGAGAAGTTAACTGTGAAACGAGTCTCCTCTTTGAAAGAGTATAATTGGCCTAGTTAAATGGACACATTTACTTTCCTATTTCTCAGTTCTTTGTTACAGTTTCTAAAGGCTGACAGTTGCAAACATTTCAGCAACAGTTTAAGTTACACGAACACAGTTTCTGTGATAGCAGACCCTGTCATTTCAGCCCACTGTGATAAATTAGCTAAATTCAATTCCTCCAGGCAAACTCTTCCGTGTATGTTAATGTATAAAATACACCGTATCATTATTGAAACTTGGCCAAACATGATATGAAACAACGTGATTTACCACAGATTGGCACAGCAGTAGCAAACAGATGTGCTAAAGAAACCCTTGTTCTGTCTGTGGGTTAATGTTAAACTGCCTTAAAAAAAGTATCTTTGTTTTACTCTAGTGTGAGGTAGCCTGGCACATATGGTATACATGAATACAGTTTAAGTTAGAAAATTAGCTAACAATGTCTTCTCTCAGCTGACTAGGTAACATGAACGTTAGCAACGCCAGACCTGCAGCAGGCGAACATTAGCTAGCCTATCGCTAGTTAGCTGCGGTTAGCTAGCATCACTAGCCATCAAATGGGCTAGCTAACGTTAAAGGCTAGTTAACGTTGACCATTAACTTACCTTGTCCATTAGTTTCCAGCATTTCTCCACCGTCTTTTTGTCTACGGCCCCGGGCTGGTGATGGGAGTGGAGGTGGTGATGGTGGGGCTGGAAGGCATCCTTCATCAATCCGATGAGCCCCCCTCCTTTCTTCAGGTTCCCTGCCATGTTTGGGCTCGGGTAGGGTCGGCCAGAGCGGCAGAAAGGCGAGGCAGGGCAAGGGTCAGAGGGACCGGACCGTGGAGTCAGCTGGACCGGGCTATGGTGAATCGACACCCCCCGACGAGGACAGCGCCCGAGAGGCGAATCCGAGCCAGGGTCCGACGGGGGGTATAGGGAGGGAGGGATGACTATTTAATAAAGGCTCCCATCAGTAACCCTAGCATCAGTTTGTCAGATAAATGTCCCGATTATGGCTCAAAGAGTCACTCACACCCTGTGCTCTGTGCTGCAGCTAGCTGCTCGGTCTCTGCAGGGACCCACGCAGGCTAATTAGCAGAGCACCAGACCTGACTCTGTTCAGCCTCAGCTGGAGGACAATGGCACCGTTTCTCTGCCCAGAAGACTTCTCGACTGGAGTGTGTCCTCTCCTCTTGACAGCCCCCGATGTCGTTCCCCCGATGTCGTTCCCCTTTTGTTGTCAGCAGCAGAAGCAGATATTTTCGCCTGTACCGTGTCTTGACGGGAAGTTCAGTGGCTGTATGACACTGTCAGCCCTCCCCTGCGGGCTGACGACAGAGAGCACTCACCGATGCCTGAAGGGAGGAAGTTGCGCTTGAAACTGCGAAATCTTCACGGACATACACTAGAACAGGGGTGAATAAATAATTGTGTGAATCAAACATGTCCCAGTGTTTTTTGTTTCCTCCCGTGACGTGTATGTGCGGCCCTGTTCCTTTCCTGTACGTCCCCTTCCGTTCGCCCCCCTCTAAACCCAAACTCCACGCCTTCCCTGTGCGCGTTCACGAGCCATGAATGTAGTCGGATGCGCGCCTCTGCCTGTGTTGCATTCATAAAACGTAAAAGGGATGCAGTCCTGAATTCCCCCCGCGGTCACCCTTAACAACAAAGGACGCTTTGACTTGTCTCACCAAAAGTAAGGATCCAATTACAAGCCCTGTGTGAATGAGCTCAAAATGCATCGGTGCCCCAGTCAAGTTTGATTGGCTGTTATTAAAGTCAACCGACTATCAATCAAACTGGACATAGTGCCATGGCAACTCACTCAGCAACCAGTGCCAAGCAACAGAGACTCATCCCTGTGTACAGTTAGTGTATATGTTATGTTCTTAAAGGTCCAAACACACGCTGCCTCACAGCAAGCAAGTTTGCCTCCAATTAAAAAACAAAAAAAGACCACACAGGATAATCGAGGAGAAAAGTGATTTTGCTCATGTGTTTGCTTGTAGTAAGGTCAAACCAACTATAGCCCAATAATATATATTTTTAATTAATTTGTTCTGTATAATAGGCTACGTCAAGGGGAAAACGTATCTTACGTAATACCAAAGATGCGAATTCCATACTCTCACTTTGCTGTTTTAAATATACCATCTTCAAAACCTGCAACTCATCAGTAGTTGACATCATCAAATCATTTGTAGATTTATTTTCATTTAATCGATTTCAGACAATGGGAGTGTTTTTTCAGAGCCCAGTCCAAAATTAAAAGATAGTGAATTCACAAGAGGAAAACAGAAAATCCTCTCCACTGAATGCAGCAGATTTTAGCCGTTTGCTTAATATACGACTTGATCAATGAATCAATGATGAATTATCTTCTGACCTACAACATTACTTAGACAAATATATCTACATTCACTCAGGTTAGTAGTCATCTTACAGGCACTGATATTTCCATTTTGCGAGGCCCAGAATTTCATTAGAGAAAAATAATGATTTTCTAAACTATATTCATTAGATGGTGTAATTATTCCTTACTTTCAGTAGCTTCAATTTGTATAAGGTTTCTAATGGTGGTTGTAAGTGCAGTATGTAAGTAGTCTTGTGCCTTGTGTTAGCATGATTTTGAGGCAGGCTACCTGTTCTTTAGAAACTTGACATTTAGATGTTATCCATTCTATTTCTAAACTAAATGTAAGGGAAATATTCTTTTTTTCTTATTAATTTTCTTTACAATACATGGCTTTTTTAATGATCAATTAAAAAGCTTTTTTTTTATTCGTTTATTTGGTAGGGACATTGCACATTAATGAACACTTAAAACAATAAATGTGCCAAGCGTAAATATGCCGGATTTAGCTTTGATCTACAGCATAGGCTGCTTTCCATCCGCAGTCCCTCATATTTGTTGATTCTGTGATTATAATCAGGTAATTTGGTAAAGTCAAGGAACCATCTGTCTGCATCAGGGCTTTACTTGATAATATTGTGTGGACAAAACGTATATATACTTTACTTTTTATTTTAAAGGTCACCATATTATGCAAAATCCACTTTTTCATGTATTTTATACATACATGTGTCCCCTCTGTGTAAAGAGATTCTCAAAGTTTCAGGAAAAAAGATTAGCACACTTTTTGTCCTGATCCATTTATATAAAAACCTGTCTGAAAATGAGCTGATCAGATTTTGGCCACTTTATGATGTCATAACGATTTTCTGGCTTGTGTAACCATTAGCCAATAACCAACCAAGGTATGCCCCCCCCCCCCTATCACCTTGAATCTCCTCCTAGGGCACCATTGTGTTCTTTTTCGCAGAGGGGCGTTGGGAGTGACACCTTATTTTCATCTAAAGTAAAAGACAGAGAATCAGCCCTTTTGAAACCGGGCTGAAACAGAGGGGATTATGGCATACTACGATGCAACTGTTTGGTATTTCGAGCCAAACACTTCAGAGACATGTTTTGTATATATCTGAGACCTATAATATACTGATGAAAAACAGTATAATTGGGGACCTTTAAGAGTTTGAATGCAGGACCTTTGCTCTGGATAAGGGAGCAGGAAGTGTAATGATCTGAATACATCACCCACCAGTGTCTTGTCTACCACCATCTGCATCACTTAACCGCTAAATGGATATTTGAGCATGTTTCACTAAAAAAGCTATTGTTTAGTTTGGTAAAATATGGAAAAATAACTGAAATATGAGTCTTTTGTTTCTCTAAAATAAATTGACCACTAGTGTGTACATTCATGCATTTATGTGTCTGATTACCACAGCCCTACAGTGTGAGTCTAAAGGGCCAGTGTAAGAGAATTGATATGAGGAGCACAGAGACATGTAGCAGAACCTGCAGCACAAGAGACAGGACCCCAGGGACGTCCACTCTGGTACTGCACATACTGTACGGGGCATGAATCAACAATTAGCCACTTTTTTAATAACATGAGATAAGGTGTGATTCATTTGGGAGTGAGGATAATGGGCTTGTTAGCCAAGGTAAGGGCAATATTGAGGAACAAATGTCTAATTAACCGGGTAAGGTGATTGCTGCATTAGCCTTACAATGTGATACAATGAGTCAGACATCTTTGACACAAGTATTATTCGAGACCTCAATTGCCAGTTAAACATTGACACAGAGCTGACCAGGGTGAGAAGGAGGGCAGCTGAAGGAAGTAATTTTAATGACTATACTTGAATAAATCAAGACATTAACAGTTAGTTATCATCTCAAAAGTGATGGACATGGAATGCCTGTATGCATTTGTTTGCCTGGTGATATGTCAGGAGGAAATAAGAAACGACAAAAGGGAGTGTGAGCAGGTCACCAAAGATAGAACATCTTCAATCCTATGTGTGCTTTCAGGGCACAGCAGGGGTTAATCAAGTTCTTCTTCTTGAGCTCCTTTAGAAGGGAAAGCCTGTGTTAAACAAAGAGATACTTATTGTACCAAGCATAATGAACAATGTTCCACCACCAAGCTGAAGAAGCACCCTTCTTTTTACAACCAGGGTCTTAGTAATAGCTCTGTCTGAAATACCTTAAGGTTAACATAACATTGTACCCAATACAATTACTTTACCAATAAACAGACAGCACAATGCTGGACACAGATTTATCCAACCCTCCATAGGCCAGACACCTGTCAGAAGCAGGTATTTGGCCACATAAGAAAAGGGAGACAACCTCTAAAATGTTTTGTGACTTTCTTGTCTTACAATGCCACAGAATATCTCTCTGCAGACCTATGCACATTGCTGTTTGCTTTACAAAGCAATGTGAGAAGTTATTTGGCTAGCAGAAATGACATATCAGTAAAATGGGAAGTCATATCAAAATAGTGCACAGGAAGTTACATTCTGGCTGATTTTGAGTCAAATTTGGTCCATCCGGACTGTTGTAGAGCTGCTTAAAGAAGCGCGCACATTCTCGATTTAAAATACTGCCCTAAAATGTTATTCTAACCCGTAGGTACATTATATAACATCAGACGGACAATAAGTGAAATAGCAGAATTCTTCCTTTATTGACACTTTACAGGTACTGGCTAAGCACAGTCAATTTCGGCACATTTTCTGCAGCTGATCCTCAAAGATAAGTGGATAACCTGGAGCCCTCTAAGAGGGCTCAGCCTGTGATTATACAAACTAGGATTTAAATATGCAATTATCATTCTTTCTCTCTTTCCCACAATGAGACTGAATCGAATTATGCCTCTTCTCCATCAGCCCCAATCAGTTAAAGGTAGTGCAGACGGGAAGGAATATCAGGTTAGAAAAGGGAGTGACTTAAAGGGAACATTTGGGATGATAAAAGAAAACCCCTCACTAAAAATACAAGGAACTCTCTCTCTAAATGTTACTTAAATGTACTGCACATTTAAAAAAAAACAAATGTAAGCAGCTGTTCTTCTCTGTGAGACACATCTGCCAATTAGACTTGATCAGATTGTTGTATCTGTTTGGTTCATTGAAAGTGACATGTCCTATGCATCAGCATCAATCTGCAATTCACGATTTAGTATTCCTAACACTGGGTTGGATGTTCTTATTATATAATATTTTACCATCAGAGTACAAAACAGGCTGAGAAATATATGCATGCATTCAGGAGCCTAACGTGTCTGTAATACTGTGTGATGACCACTAGATGTAGCAAATGTCTGTTTATAGTCGAGGAGGCGGTACCAAGATTAATTTAAACACCCAGACGTTTTTTGAGAATTTATATGTGTAGATACATGGTACAGGTATTTATGTTTTACATATGCTTATGCTTATATATTTTTTTATGTCAATATAAGTAAGTGACGACTATACTTACATGGTATGAAATTAATGATACCAAGTGAGAGTACACTATACACACACATAAAGAATAACATGATCTTTCAATAGTGTTAAGAAATTATGGGAATGTGGGTATCATTTGTTGTATTGTATGCTGGATCCATGGGCCAGAGGCCAAATATGGACAGGCAACAGAGCATAAGTGAACCTCACCACACAAAGTCACACAGTATTCTCCAAAATGCCAAACTGTATTAGACTGCAATGTTTTCTTCCAAACCCCACGAAAAAACGGAAATCCTCAGAAAATAAAGTACAAAAAGTTAAGTTCAACATTAGGTAGACCAACAAAAACAAAAGTGAGGCAGAATAACAGTTACTGTATGCAGGAATTATGACTTAGCTGCTCAGCATCGATACAACCAGACTTCTCCCGCGGGGAGCCAGATAAACAGATTTTCTTCCAAGGCTGTCGTTTGCGTCATTTTCATGGCACAGGGCAGTTTTGTTAGCCTCTCATCTGTGTGGTAACGAATCATTGACTCTAGGATGAAGAGAATTCTGTACTCTAACGACCAATTAAGACAAAAACTCAAAAGGCCTTTATCTGGAACCAAATATTTTCTCCTAAAACCACAAGTTGTTGTTGTCCTAAGGGAGTTTGTGTTTCTGTTATTTAGAGTTTAATGGGGTACTGCAGTCGCCCAAGTGCTAA